GAGCAGCTAATGTCCCAGACCCACATACACTTCTGAACAATGTGGACTCTGCAGCAGAGTGGTTTACTGTCATTGACCTCAGTAATGCTTTTTCCTCTGTTCCTCTACACAAAGACTCACAGTTTTGGTTTGCTTTCACCTATAGAGGAAAAAAGTACACTTACACCAGGCTACCACAAGGTTTTACTGACAGTCCCACAATTTTTACAGAAGCCATTACAACATGTTTGCAAAACTTTAAACCCACACACAGTCAGCTGCTCATTTATGTTGATGATTTATTACTCTGTTCCCCCACAGAAGAGGCCTGCAAGCAAGACACATTAGCTCTTCTTCATTTTTTGGCCCAAACAGGAAATAAAGTCAGTAAAGACAAAATGCAATTGGTCAGACAAGAAGTTGTTTATTTAGGACAGACCATCTCCAAATCAGGCAGAAAGATTCACACAGACAGAAAACATACAATCTCATCTGCACCCAAGCCTGAAACAAAGAAACAAATGATGCAATTTCTTGGCTTATGTAATTACTGCAGGGCCTGGGTACCCGAATATGCATCGGTCACCCAGCCCCTGCTGGACATGATTTACTCCACCCCCATGGCCATGACAGACAAGGTCAGTTGGACTCAGGAAGGAGAACAGGCTTTTATTCAGTTAAAACAGCTCCTCACTCAAAGCACCACTCTTCTTCTTCCTGATTACAAAAAACAGTTCGTGCAAATGGTTGACTCCAAGGAAGGTTTCATGGTTTCCGTTCTGTTGCAGTCACATGGTGACCGGCTCAAACCATTAGCTTTCTACTCCAAAAGGTTGGATCCTGTTGCAAGAGCACTGCCCCCTTGTGTTCAGGCAGTATGCGCTGCAGCGATGGCAGTCGAAGCATCTGCTGATGTTGTGCTATTTCACCCACTTAAGCTCATGGTTCCTCATGCAGTTGACATCCTTCTTTTGCAAAGTCGTCTCACATCACTGTCACCGGCTAGACAAATCACATACACTGCACTTCTGTTATCACAACCACACATCACCATTCACAGATGTAATGTATTCAATCCTGCCACTCTTCTGCCATTACCTACTGATGGTACACCTCATGATTGTGTTGATCTGTCCGAAAAACTCCAGCTCCCCCGTCCTGATTTGCAGGACACGCCCCTCGAACAGGGCCTCACATGGTTCGTTGATGGTTCCTGTTCTAAGGCCCCTGATGGAAAGAATCTTACTGGTTTTGCAGTAGTTCAACTCCCCGACATTGTCCTCTGTGCTGAGCAACTCCCCTCCCACTTTTCTGCCCAAGCAGCCGAGATAATTGCCTTAACAAAAGCCTGTGAGTTGAGTGAGGGTAAAGATGTCACAATCTACACTGATAGTCAGTATGCATTCTCTACATTGTTTTATTTTGCTAAACAATGGGAACAAAGAGGTATGACCACTTCCACAGGTAAACCTGTCACGCATGCAACGTTGCTGAAGGATCTTTTGCAAAAAATAACATTACCTTCACGATNTAAAATAAAATAAAATAAAATAAGTAAAATGGCAGGTTTTGTGTCATAAAAAATGCAGAACATGTGACAGTAAATCAAAATAAAACGATAGCCTTAACAAAACTGGGAGAATACTAAAGAAGTGCAACAAATCTCAGAGCTGACAAACCAGTTCAATCATGTCAGATAAAAGCCTCGACGTGTAGATTAGATGAACAAACAGGCAGGGCGTAACAGTTCTACAAGGCCACCAACTGTCACTGAATCTGACACACACAAAAACTAAACTATTAGTTCTAATGTTCAAGTAAAAAACTAAATTAAAAATAAACCAGTCAGCCCTGAGACATAATCCTTCCTTCATCATTTTAAGGTTTGTGGGCCTCCATTTATAAAATATATCTGGTATTGTTTCATCAAAACATTTTTATTGGGTGTTGAATGGAACAGTGAAATACCTTAATTCTTTTATTTTTCCAGTCTACTGTAGATTTGCTGCTGTGAACAGTTTTATCATCCAATCAGAGCCAAATGTCTGTTTTCAGATGTACGGCTTCATATCTGACTCTAGAATACAGTAAATAGGTATGTCTATGAAACATTGTTTAAAGAGCTTAGTGGCACACCTGTGTGTTTAGTTTGTCATGTGCATTTGATTTGGAGCACCAGGTTATTCTCAACTCCTCCTGGTTGTTTTTAATTAGAAATAACAGTAATTTTACTCCAATACTGTTATATTATGAACACTTTATTTTTTAATCAACCACACACTTTCAGCAGTTTTGAATCTCTTAAAAGCAAATAAATGCTCATTTATATCTTAGGTTGGAGAAACCAGTGATCTAAAACTAAAAATAACATAAACTCAATTCACACCTTCGTCCTAAACCAAACCCTCTTATGGGGTGTCATTTGTAAAATTACACAGACAAAGATTACCAC